TTTACAGACTACGTTATGCCAATTGAGCTACATGTACCCCGAGACCATGGTCGCCAGCTCTAGCCCAATAGCTCGGTCTCTCAGTGAGGTGCACAGGTTTTCAAGGGCCATACCTGACGAAGTTTCGTGCGATTTAGCAATTGCAGTCACACAGGAAGAGAAAAAACTTAGGTACTCAGATTACAAGTCTCTTTTTCTCTTCCCATAAACGCAAATTATTCAAGTATGACTAGGACGCCCGTGATTCTACTACATCAGCTGCCTGTATCTTTCTGCAGAAAAAAGAAACGACAACAAATTTCCCTCAATTCCCTTCCCTTTCTTTCAACCCTTTTGTCTCTTCCAGATACTAATCTTCTTTCATTGCTCCCTTTCTTTCGCGCCTTCTCGCTATCTCCCTCTGCCTTAAGTCCCTGGCTGCCACACGTAATCCTGCGCAGCGTGGGAGGTCGAAAAAGGAAGGCGCGACGGAGCCCACCCGGCCTTCGCTTTGCGGCGCGCCCGTAAAGCGTTGTCACGAACTGGTGACGTTACAGCGCCTGGGTTGCTGCTCCGCAGGCTGCTGGTGTTGGGACTCTGCGTCAGTCGGTGGTTTGATTTACGCTGTTGCACTAGAAGAGGAGCTGGAGTGTTATTTTGGGACGGCTCCTGGTCTGTGTTTTCTTTTGAGCTAGACGTTGCAACTGCCTCTCAGGAACGGGAGGGCGGCCGGGTCCTATTGCTCGCTAGATGCTCGGGGCCCGGAACTGTGGGGCGGGCCGAGGCTGCAGCTCACGCTGAAAGCTGCCCAGCGCCGCTGAGCCGCCCGTGGGGTGCTGATGGCCGGAAGCGTTCTGGGAAAAGCTTTAGCCACCGTGTCTTTCTCTGTGGCCTTGGCTTCCGTGAGTGTCATGTCCCTGGGCTGCCGCAGCATCCCAGCATACAGGTATTCGCCCTCCTAGTGTCGGCTCCTCCTCCCGAGACCTTGGGTTGGGGGTTGGAACCAGCTTCCTTTCGGTCTGGGTGAGTTCCTTGGGCTTTGCTTGGCGTCCCAGGTTTTAATAACCATATACACATTTCGAGAACAGTCCCAAGGACCTTTCTTGATATCTTGAAATTTGTTCTTCTCCATAAGTCACCAGCATTATTGTCCCTACAGAGTTTAAATACCACGGGTTTGGGTGCCGTTTTTCTTTCTGGTTACTGTTAAAACCATTTTTATTAAAATCTATACATGAATATAGTTAAATTGGAGCAGTATCACACTACCTCTTACTTTCATTCTCCTTCAGTTTTTGTTCTTTGAGTCCATTGTTCAGTAAACATGGTGCGCCAGACAGTATGCTTGGTTTTAGGAGGCTGCCTGTAGGAACGGTTCTTTTTTTTGTTCTTTCTTGGCCCCTCATGTTTACTTCTGGCGCACCTAAATTTTCTTCTTTTTTTTTCCTGTCCTCTTTTTCTGGAACTCCTGTTAGCTGTTGGACCTTTGGATAGAGCCTCTGTTTCTCTTTTTCTTTCATTTTCCATTGATTTGTCTTTTTTAAAGAAATATGTTCTTAGAGATTTTCCTTAACTTTATCTTCCAAATTACTAATTCAGACTTCAGTCCTGTGCGTTCTGTTAGTCATCTCCTTTATTGAATTTTATGTTTTGGCAAGAACTTTTTTTCTCTGATTGCTCTTTTTAGTAGCAGCCTTTTCTTATATTTTGCTATTAAAAGCTCCTTTGAATCTTTACAGATAGTAATGCGGGTAAAATTCATCTCTTATATTTCCTGAATTGTTTGTTTGTTTTGGGTCAGTGGTTCTATTACTTTTTGGTCCTTCTTTTTCCTTCTGTTGCTCATCTGGTGGTCACTGGTTGTCCATTTAAATTTTGGTTAATGTAGGCATAGACATTTTTTTCTTCACATGTGGGGACTGATTGTTGGTTCTATGTAAGAGATCAGAAGACGGGAAGGTTTCAGTTGAGGGTGGGTGAGCAGGTAGTTCTAGTTTTGCATTAGGGTAGAGCAGTTTTCTCAAGTGAGCAGAGCTGTCTTAACTTTATTTCCTCAGTGTGAATGGTAGAGTTATTAAGCCTAAATTTCTGCTGTGTTCTCTAACACCAATATTTCCAATAGGGGTTCTAGTCTTTCAGTTTCTTTGAGAATAAACTTTTGGCTTTATTGTGCGGCAAACATAACTATTGTCATTTTGTGTTTGAAGGGTGGGGAGGGAGAAGGACTGAGTAATTTCCATGGTTATTGTCCTGCCACACTTCAAGCTTGAAATCTTTCAGGGCTTCTCTTGTGGGAATGGCATGCTCCCTTACCCTTTTTGCATGTTTTCAAATACAGTTTTTTCTGCTTTGGTTTGTAGGTCAATAAGATTCTGTTCACTTTCTATCTCCCTACAATTGGTTAAAATCTCTCATTCAGAGGTGGTGTCCTATCCTCTCTTTTATGCTGTGGATTTATTTCCTTTTGTACATCTTTATCTCTTTTTAGTGGAATATGAGGAGGGAAAGAATAAACAGTATGTGCTCTCTGGAAGTCACTAATGCTATTTTTGATACAGACCACCAGAACAATATAAAGCTGCTTGACAGTTATTTTTTATTTTTATAAAGCTGAGAAGTCTAAGTGAAGTGAGGTATACTCCAGAACCAGTGACTGTTACTGGTTTGCTTGGAAGAAAAAGCCAAAAGTTAAGTCAGCAACTATGTGTTGAGTACCTGGTATCTTATATTTCAGGGCATGCTCAGAGAGACAAATGAAATTTATCATAAAAAATGTTACCATTCTGTAGTAATATGGACAAATCCAGAAAGTGATACTATTGTAGTTGGTTTTTTTGATTTGAGTAGAAAATCGCAAATGTCTGTTTTCTAGAAAAAATGGTAGTACGTATATCTGTAGTGAGTACTTCCAAATTTTCCAGCAGGATTTTTCAGTGACATCATTATATATTTTACTACCGTGAATACACGTAAACATATGTGCAGCTAAAAATGAAGTAGAGACAGTGCAGCGTAGTATTGAGAACCTGGCCTTTAGAGCCAGCTTGCCTGTATTTGAATCCTCATCCTGCTGTTGTCAGTTGTGTGATCTTGGTAAAGTTATTTGCCTCTCTGGGCCTTAATGAGGGGCCCTGGTGGCACAGTGGTTAAGCGCTTAGCTGCTAACCATAAGGTCGGCCATTTGAATCCACCAGCCGCTCCATAGGAGAAAGCTCTGGCAGTCTGCTTCCGTAAAGGTTTACAACCTTGGACACCCTGTGGGGCAGTTCTGCTCTGTCCTATAGGATCACTATGAGTCAAAATCCACTCAATGGCAATGGTTTAGTTTTTGATTCTGGGCCTTAATGTTCCCATTTCTAAAATAAGTATAATAGCACCTATCTTAGTACTGTAACAAAAGTGACCTGTAGTGGGTGGCTTTAAAGAACATGAATTTATTGTCTCACAGTTCAGGAGACTAGGAGCATGAATTCAGGGTATTTCTGTAGGGGGAGACCCTGCTTTGTCTTTTTCAGCCTTTAGTAGCCTGGCAGTCTTTGGAGTTCCTGGATTTGTAGTCTTCATATGGTATCTTCCCCTAGTGTATGTCTCTGTGTCTGTTCTGCTCTTATTATACCTCAAAAGTGATTAGGATTAAGACCTCCTCTACTGTGGTATGACTTATTAACATAAGAAAGGAAAACTCTGTTTCCCAAAGGATCACATCCACAGGTACAGGGACGAGGACTTCAATACATATTTTGGGAGTACACAGTTCAGTCCATCACAGTTCCTAATCTCAGAGTTCTTGTGAGGCTCAGATTATTGTTGTTATTATTATTATTAAAGCGCTTAAGACTGTTTTGCACATAGCAACTACTGTATACATTTAGTTATCATTATGGCTATTACGGAGCCTTGGTGATGCAGTGGTTAAGAGCTTGGCTGCCAACCTGAAGGTCTGCAGTTTGAATCCACCAGCTGCTCTTTGGAAACCCTGTGGGGGCAGTTCTGCTCTGGCTTGTGAGTATTACATTTTCTTTAGTTCAAAGCACCATATCAGTATTGCATTTTGCTGGTCTTTGGAACTGGCTTTTGGTTTGTAAAATGAACTTTATCAGCTATTTAATTCCCACTTGTTAGGCCAAATATATTTCTTGCATCTGTTAAATAATAAAAAAGCCTAGGCTGTGTATGTATGTATTGGACAAATGCTAAGTTGCAGACACACAACTATAAACAGTTATAAATAAACATGATCCCTTTCAGTGTATCACGTTTAAATAGTAGATACAAATGGAAACATTAGCACTTCTTGATGTGGTAAGATGCATAGTCTTTGAATTTTTAGTTCTTCCAATGTTAAGTTTGTTTTGGAAAAGTAAGTAATCAGGTGTGTAAGTTTCTCTGTCAGAATAGGTATAGATTTGTGGGATTCCACATGCTTATTGCTGTATCAGGGAACAAAGAATCTCAAATTAGTGCTTAAAAATCATTTTGGTACCTGGTTGGGAAAGAGTGGAACTGGTTCAGTGTTCCCTGTTGGGCATCTCGCAAACCACTAAACGTAACTCTCATTTTGTAATATAATTCAGTCTAAGACTTGGGCACCATATGTAAAACTTCCATTGTTTTGGTACAGTGTTTATCATATTTTGTCATTAAAGTTATGCTGATCGTGATATATGGAGCTTTCCACCTTTTCCTATGACTGAAATAGTCTATTAAGTAATGTTGGAAGTTAGGTAAAACTTAGCTGGACTTCAGCTGGTGTGACTTTTCCAAACTTTTATGCCTTTTCAAGTTTTCTATTTTTGGGAGTAATTTTGATAACTTTGGTAATTTATATTTTGCTGGATAATCATTATCTCATTTTAATTTTCCAATTTGTCATCATACAGTTGTTACTGTCTTCTACTGTTAATTCACTTGTGGCAGTTAATTCATCTTGATCTTTTTGAGACTTCTTTTTAAGCTCTGTTAGGTTGGGTCTTGAGTAGTCTTTCTTCTAGTGCTGGCTTAGCCTTACTCCTGAGATGTGGCCTTTCTAGTGTTTAATAAGGTCTGTCCAGTTAGAAATCCGGTATTTCTCAGCACTGTGTAGGCTCCAGTAATTGTTTAGCTCTGTGTCTGCCCTGGTAGCTGTTCTTTCCTTGGTAATTGTTCTTTCCAAGTAATTGTTTTTCTGCTGTGGTTATTCTTTGCTCAGCCTCTTGGAATCTGGCGTTGTGTGTCTGCAACTTAGTATTTGTCCAGAAACTCAAAACTTCTGGAAAACAAATTTGTGTGGATTTATGGAGTCCCTTCTCTTCACAGTTTCCTTCTCTTAGGTATGCACAAATTGCATTTGTTTCTGTAGTCCTGAAATCTGATTTCTCCTCAGCTTAGCAAGATCACTAGGTCTATTTGTGCTGCCCTTTCCTTGCCACTTTCCAGAAAGTGCCTCTAGGAAAAAAGTCAGATAATCATGGACTCATCTCATTAGTTTTCTTTCTCTCAGGGATCACACAGTCCTGTGCTGTCTGTTGTCCAACATCTGAAAACAAGTATTTTATATATTCTGTTCAGTTTTGTAGTTGTTTATGTGTAAGGACTAGTCTGGTACTAGTTACTCTTTAATGGCCAGAAGTGGAAGCCAGCCAGTGTTTTTAAAAATGTATTCCTTCATGTAGACTTAAACAGTCTTCTTTTACATTTGTTTTTATGGTTGAGTTCTATAACAAAATTCCATAACAAACTTTCGTATCTTAGCAGATAACACAAAAGTAAAAGTCTGTCCCCTTTTCTCGACTAAAATAAATTCAGTGAGTGGGTTCCAATTATAAGAGTTAACTATGTTTAGAAAATTTTTATGTTTGAAAATAATTTCTCACAGATTTTGGAGCTTTAGGCAAATATGCATCAAATTTGAATTTTCTGATTTTTGAAAGTCTTTGAAATTGAAAAGTAGGTTTTTGGGTCCTTGAACTAAGTTCTTAAGTTTAGTAGGTTTTTTTTGTTTTTCTTATATTTATGTAAAACATTTTTCCATTTTTCTCCCCAGAAACTCATTGTCATCCTGTTGGTTTCATCTTAATCCCATCATCATGTCAGGTTCTAATGGCGCCAAACAGGATTCCCACAACAAGGCTCGGACGTCTCCTTACCCAGGTTCAAAAGTTGAACGAAGCCAGGTTCCTAATGAGAAAGTGGGCTGGCTTGTTGAGTGGCAAGAGTATAACCCTGTGGAATACACTGCAGTCTCTGTCTTGGCTGGACCCAAATGGGCAGATCCTCAGATCAGGTGAGCAAATTAGTCAACATTAGCTGTATATAACAGAGCTATATGTATCTTATGTATGTAACTTATAGAGATACATACATACAGCTGTATGTATAGAAGATAGTGATTATATTTGTAAGTTATCATTTTGATAATTGAAAAATCATTTTTATTTAGTGTTGGCTTTGTTATAACTCAGTTTCCACATTTAACTTAAATTCTTGCCAAAGCTACGAACTAGACAGGCAGTGTTTATGTATTTTGGGGGTCTTAGGATTATCCTTCCAAATAGATAAAATTTCTTTTGTTACAGAGTTTTTTGTTTTATGAAATAACAGGTGGTGGTATCTGTTTTCATTTGTTTGGTAGTGGTTATCAATGGAACATCTTTTCTGGTTATTTTTCAACATAGCTAGACTTGTATTTGAAGTAGTAAAAATATTTTTTCAAATTTTTTTTCCAATTAATCAAGAATGATAGAAAATTAGAGCAGTGTGAAAAAATAGAACAGGGATAGAGAGCAAGGGAAAAAAAAAGCAAAAAATGTTTTGAGTAAATTCATAGAAGTGGTATGTTGATTCACATTTTATGTTTGTGTTCCTTTTAATAATGATTAGGCTTTTTTATGTGTACTAACTGTCGGTTAGGCTCCATATTAAGTGCTTTATAAGCATTATTTTATTTATTTTATTCTTAGAACCATTCTGGAAGGCGGACACTATTGTTATCTCTACAAGAAAAAAAAAAAAAAGAAAGTACAGAAAGTCTGTCACAGAGTTAGTAGATGGAATAGCTTAGACTTGAATTCAGTCCGACTTCAGAGTTCATGCTCTTAAGCACTCTGCCAAACTGTCAGCCTAGTGTTAGAGTAGTTTTAGAAGTTTGATTTAATGGGCAAGTTTATTGTAAATCATAGTCCTCTCAAGGCATTATTTAGCCAGTTAAATAAAAAAAATTTGCTGGTTGGATAGATCCAGTCTTAGTTTAATAGGTTGTTAAACTTCATCATTAACTTAGTACTGTGCCATGATTTTGACGCACAGTTTTTTAATTGTATCCAAAGATGTGTTTGTAACTTTACTTGGATTATTAATTAATCATGAAAATAACCTGTGGAGAAGTTACTGGGTTTAAATGGGCTCCATTTCCCCCTATTTTAGAGGGTGTGTATATTTGTACGTACCTTATACATATGCATATTTACATATACGTTATGTTCAATTAAAATTCATGATGTTTGCAGGAGTGCTAGATAGCTTAAAAGGAAGATTGAATACATTTTCTTATTTTTCATCAGTTTATTTTTTGAAAGTTGAAATTGTATTACCATCTAAATCAAACCCTGTCACTAACATTAATGCTTCAATTATAGCTAGGTTCATGCTTTTTTTTTTTTTTTTTTAATGGTAAATTTTTAGAGTCCCGGGAGCATTGCAACTCTGGTTTTATAATTTTGTAGTTCCATTTAATTCTTTTTTATTTGTGTGTTAGATGGCAGATTGGCTAGAAGTCTTGAGAAAAGATCATCCAAATTGGAAATTACTCCAAAACAGACCACAAATATTTTTATGTTTGCATACTGGAATTAAAGTAAGAAAAAAAGTGAAACCTATGTCAGAAAACTTTCCTGGCTGTGAACTGCCAGTGCTACACAACTCCTTATTTACTATCAGTGTAATTATGTCAGTGATTTCATAGTGGTGAGGAAAGTAGTTTATTTATATTATATCAGTTATTTTTATTGAGACAATACATAAATACGGTAAAGTGCACATTTCTTAAGCATGCAAATATAACTCAGTAAATTTTCACATTCATCTGTCTCTGTAAGGACTACTCACACCAAGATCTAGGCTATTTCCAGTATATCTATTTTTCATCTGTATCATACTTATTATGCTGTTTGTAGGGTGAATTCACTGTTTTGATAAAATATTTTTGATAAAAATAACAGTGCACATTTGAAGAAATTAAAATTACTTTGAATCAGTAGAGACATCAGTATACCAGAAGGAATCTTATGTTTGGAACCACTTAAGAACCAGTAATTACCATATTGTGCCCATAGCCAAGTCTTCCTTGCTAATATTAATGTAGACTTTTTTGGTAGCATGTGAGAGGAGCTCTGCTTTTTTCAGTACTCATTCCCAGAGGGGTTATTGAGTCCAGTAATAATGCACATCCTTGGAAATTACAAGATGTTTTGGTTAAAAATGAAAAAGTGTTTTTTTCATAGTCACTGTTTTAAAGCAGTAAGATGGATTTGTAAATGAAAACTAATCTTTAAATAAATTACTGTTACTTCAGATAACAAATTGACTGGCATTATTTTGCTGTTGGTAGTATTGAATCATCATTTCTTATTTGCATTGGTGTTCTCATTACAGTGAAAGTAACTTTTCTCCCAAGTTTAATGAAAAGGATGGACATGTTGAGAGAAAGAGCCAGAATGGTCTGTATGAGATTGAAAATGGAAGACCTAGGTAGGTACTGTGGATGGAACATCTTACAACAGTGGGTCTTAATAAAATAGAAAAGATAATTAACCTTTATTGAGTGCTTGTATGTGCCAGGTGTTGTACAAAATAGTTTATATGTGTGATCTGATTAAATCTTCATAATAATTCCATGAGTGGATATTTTTCCATTTTTACAGATGAAGAGAGAGGATGATCAATTTGTATATAGCTTGTAAGTTGCTGGATCTTTTTGTAACTCCACCTTGAAGGGAGAAATAATTAACAAAGAAAAGATTGAAAATTATGTCTCAGTAGTTCATTTATTAAATGAAACAATACCATAGAGTACCACCATCTATCTGTCAGTTTGTTGTAGTGTGATGGTTTGTGTGTTGCTATGATGCTGGAAGCTATGCCACTGGTATTTCCAGTGCCAGCAGGGTTATCCATGGTGAACAGGTTTCAGCCGAGCTTCCAGACTAAGACTAAGGGAAAAGGACTGGCGATCCATTTCCAAAAATGAGTCATGAAAAACTTTGGGATAGCAGTAGGACATTGTAAGATTGATAAAGTAGAGGGTCAGCGAAAATGAGGGAGATCCTCCATGAGATGGATTGGCACATAGCTGCAACAGTGGGCTCAAACATACCAACAATTGTTAAGACGGTGCAGGACCAGGCAGTATTTTGTCCTGTTACACGTGAGGTTGCCATGAGTTAGAGCTTCCTCCATGGCATCTAACAACAGTCTTAAAGTAAGAGTTTATCTAAACACATAAGTATAAATCAAACCAACCTAAACAATAATTTAACATCAGAGTTTTTTCTATACTTTTAAAAATGAATTTCTATAAAATTCCAAAATTATCCATTTTCCTTAATGAGCCATTTTAAAAGTTAGGAAGATAGATAAACGTTAACTCATTGCTGTTAAGTTAATCCTGAGCCATAGCAACCCTATAGGACAAAGTAGGACTGTCTCATAGGATTTCCAAGGCTGTAAATTGTTTCGGAAGCAGACTGCCACATCTTTCTCCCATGGAGTGACTGGTGGATTAGAACTGCTGACCTTTTGGTTAGCAGTCAGTCACTTAACCACTGCGCCACCAAGACTCCTTATATAAAAGTTAGCATGTCTCAAATAAAACAAAAGAAGGACCATAGCTTTGTCATCATGGTAATTACCTGATAAAAATGTTGTGGCTTACATTTTTAGTTCATCTAGAACATGAAAATCATGGTGATCCCAATTCCAGTCTTCTCCAGTTTTGCTAAAGTCTTCCTTTGGTCACAACTTATTCACCTTTCTATTTTCTTTGTTATTGAGCCTTTTAAAGTCAAATTCTCCTAGCTTTTGACTTATTTTTTAGCTTCTTTTCTGCATAAAAGATATTAAAAGAGACATACACCCACACACACAACACACAGGAAGACACATTAACAACCTTCATTATGCAGATGATGTAGCCTTGCTTGCAGAAGTGAAGAGGACTTGAAGCACTGATGAAGATCAAAAACCACAGCCTTCAGTATGGATTACACCTCAACATAAAGAAAACAAAAATCCTCAGAACTGGACCAATAAGCAACATCATGATAAACGGAGAAAAGATTGAAGTTGTCAAGGATTTCATTTTACTTGGATCCACAATCAACACCCATGGAAGCAGCAGTCAGGAAATTAAAAGATGAATTGCATCGGGCAAATCTGCTGCAAAAGACCTCTTTAAAGTGTTAAAAAGCAAAGATGTCACCTTGAAGACTAAGGTGCGCCTGACCCAAGCCATGGTGTTTTCAGTTGCCTCGTATGCATGTGAAAGCTAGACGAAGAGTAAGGAAGACTGAAGAAGAATTGACACCTTTGAATCGTGTTAGTGAAGACTATTGAATATACTATGAGCTGCCAAAAGAACAAAGAAATCTGTCTCGGAAGAAGTACAGCCAGAATGCTGCTCAGAAGCAAGGATGGTGAGACTATGTCTCTCACATCTTGGCATCTTGGACATGTTATCAGGAGAGCTCAGTCCCTGGAGAAGGACATCATGCTTGGTAAAGTAGAGGGTCAGCGAAAAAGAGGAAGATCAACAACATGGATTGACGCAGTGGCTGCAACAATGGGCTCAAGCATAATGATTGTAAAGATGGGCTCAAGCATAATGATTGTGAAGATGGCACAGGACTGGGCAGTGTTTTGTTCTATTGTTCATAGGGTCACTGTGAGTCAGAACTGACTCGACAGTACCTAACAGCAACAACACACGTATAAAAGGACAGACAGCAAAGCCAAGATAGCATGTTGTTTTAGTCAAGACTATTTGACTAATAGGAACCAACTCTTAATTTGCCTGAACAAAAAATGAAATTTATTCAAGGGCTTTAGGATTATATCAGGGAGCCCAGAGCATAAAATGCAGTTAACTTCAGAAAAGAGTAAAATTGGGAGTGCATCAGGACTATCTTTCTGTCTCATCTCTGTTTTTCTCTATATGTAAGGTTTATTTTTATCTCTGCAGACAACTTTCTTCTCAGGCTAAAGGATAGTCTGTACATTCCACAGCTTCTAGTTTATATATAAGTTATAGGTTTGGTTATCTATAAAAACTAGCACTTTCTCTCAGTATTGGCTTTGATCATTCATTTTCCGGGGCGTGTGGTTATATGGAAGAGAACATGGTTGCTGGCCACCTTGCTCCTCCTGTGGATTTGAAAAATAGTATTATTGTCAGCTGGACAGAGTTTTGTCTTTCTGTTTTTATTTGCAAGTCTTGCTAAAAAATTTCTGAATCTACTACCAAGCAATATAAAAATTCATTCCTTCAGTTTTAATGACAGTCACAGGAAAGAACAGAATAAAAAGATGTATTAAAGAGAAATTTTGACGTGTTGTTTATTTACTTTCATACAGTGAGAGGACTAAAGATACAGTATTAAATAGGTAAGATTACAGAGTAGAACATTTAACTGGTATGTAATGAAAATTTAACATTTAAAGAATATTAACTGGAAGAAAATTACTTAGGTATGAGTGTTGATTTGTTTATCTGACACTTTAGCATTGGATTATGACATTAGGTTAAATGCTAAGTTGGTATTTTTATAAAATTGCTTTCTTTAAAATTTGTGTTTTAGTATACTCGAAATCTATGAAATATTAAATAATACACCTGCTTGTCACTTACTATCTCGTTATCCGACATTTCACGTTTATGACAGTAATAAAAAATATTACTACATGACTTTGGTGCACAGTAACGATGTATGTCTGGCAGTAATGAATGCCGAAGTGAGAGGTGAGAGTAACACTGGCTGTGATGGTTAAGGTTTTTTGTCAGCTTGGCTGGGCCATGTTTCTCAGTGTTGGACAGTTATATAATAATGTAGTTATCCTCCATTTTGTGATCTGATGTGGTCATCCTACAGTTTTGCATAATGCCAATTTTCACATAACAACCTGGTCTTTGGAACCTAACTGTCAATAAGTGAGGAGTGGGTATATTAGTATTTTGTGATATGCTACGGTATATGTGTTACTGATAATAAAAATCCAGTACCCACTGGGGAAAAATAGACTTAAAAATATAACAAAAAGATGTTTTAACGGAGAGAATTGGAGAGTAGAATAGGAAAAGACCATGAGAAAGTGAAGAGAAGTGTGGATATCCTGAAAAATAACTTGTCACCGTCGTAGAGATGATGAGGTGCGAAGCATTTCATCCTCCAAGTTTTAAGAGTCAGTAAGGTTCTAGATGGAATTTAGAAGTATATTAAAAACTGAAACAAATTCTTTTATTGTAGAAAAACTTCAGAAATAGATTTAGTGCCATAGTACCACTGGATTTGTGAGGAGATATTATTATTTTCTTATTGTTCTTAGTACCTTCTTTTGGGACATATCAAGTTGGTTTACAAAAGATAAACACATTCAGCTGATATTTCTTTTTCCTCAGAAATCCTGCAGGACGGACAGGACTGGTTGGCCGGGGGCTTCTGGGGCGATGGGGCCCAAATCATGCTGTAGATCCTATCATAACCAGGTAAGAACCAAATGAAATATTTTAGGAATGAAGAGCTAAGTAATCAGAAAAATACAGACTGTAGCCATACACACACACATACACACACATATCTATACTTTAAAGGGATTTTATGCAAATAAATTATAGTGATGTAAAGCTGTAATTTTATATTGTATGAGAGTTAGGCATCATCAAACAAAGTTAATTCACCAGATACTTACAGAGCAGCATTGAGTAGGTTCTTTAGAGGATGTAAAAACAATATAAGAATCTTGAATTTTGGCTCTCTGTAACTGAAGAGCTATAGCTTCATTTGCAAGATGGAAGATATGAAATAAGAAAACAGGTCACATATGATCAAGTAAACTATCTTGGAACATTGGAAGTGGAGAATGACAAACTGGAGCACCCAGTAAAGTCATTATGAAGGAGGTAGACTTGAGCCAAGCATGAATCCTTGATGGGGGATAGGAGCCATTGAAGGTTTTAGAATAGGGGGAAGGCATTCTTTCCTGACACAGACTTATTTGGTAAACCACATCATATTCAGAAGGTTTCTTGTGAGCATAGATCAGAATAAAGAAAAGAAGGTAGGTGAATCTAATGTTGATAGATGGACTTAGCCATCTCTATAGGAATCATCTTTCCAGTGCATCTAGAGTATTCTTTTTGTTTAAGATTTTTAAGATTTCTTCACTGACCAGCTGATTCCCCACATGTAATTGTCAGTTTCCTTCTTTAGATAATGCAAACACCCTCAATACTGTTACTATTATTTTTTTTTTAATTTTAATAATTTAGGGGCTTTCCTTTCCTACCAGACTTTGTTTTTTTCTGATCTGATATGTGCTAATAATTTCACAGTTTAACTCTAGGAAGACGGTTTATTTCCCTTGTTTTTAAGTTGCTGGGAGAGGTACTGATATTCACCCTGTTTTATTCCCTTACTTGCATTATTAGTTTCTTTGCCAAAAGGGGCTTTATCTCATACTCCAGATTTTATCTTTCTCCCTTCTTTCACCCCTTCCTCTCTTCATTCCTTCCATCCACTTACCTTCCTGTTTGTCTGTCTGTCTACCTGTCCATCCATCTAACGTTCCTTTAGAACCTTTATGATTTAAATGTGATGGAAAGAGTTAATGTATTGTTGTGAATGACCTTAAGTCATAAATATTAGTGACACTATCATTTTCTTTCCAGTTTTGATGAGGCTGGCTAAAGACAGGAAGATGTGAAACATTTGAATACAAGTAAGGGGATAAGAAGCAGAAAAGGCAGGCCATAGACTTGAAAGTTAGCATCTAATTAGCTTATCTTTATCTATAGTGGACCAAATAGTAGCTGGGAGTGTACGTGGTGATTGTGTGTCAAGTCGTTTTGAAATGGTAGATGTTAGAGACCTTGAGTTTTAACTGTCGTTATACAGATGAGAAAACTAAAGGCTTAGAGATGGTCCAGAGCAATACAAAGCCCCCAAGTGGCAGAGTCTAGGTTTAAACTGTGCTCTTAGGTTGATGTTCTTTCTACTCTGCTGTGCTGTGTCAGTAATGCATATGTTAATTGATGAGTTCTTCTAAGTAGATTAAAAAAACCCACTTCTTTGAGTTGATTCTGATTCATAGTGACCCCTTAGGGCTTCCAAGGCTGTAAATCCCTAGGGAAGCAGACTGCCACATCTTTCTCTGTTGGAGCCACTGGTGGTTTCGAACCGCTGACCTTTTGGTTAGCAGTTGATCGTTTTAAGCAGTGTGTCTCCAGGGCTTCTCTCTAAGTAGATGAGTGGCAGTGAAAATGGAAGGAAGAGAAGAATGAAAGATATTAAAGAAGAATCAACAAGACTAAATGGCTTTTTAAATATATCTCTACTCTAGGCACTCTGCTGGGTGCAATTTTTTTTCCATTTGATTCTTACAACTCCTCTGAGTAGGTATTAACATAGCTACCTTATAGATCTGAAAATGGAGACTTACTGAGGTTAAGTGACTTGTCTAAATTTTGTAGATCTGAAATTTGAATCAGGGTTACGTGGCTTTAAATATATGTGGCTTTTTCCTTTATATTGGTATTTCACTAATGAGTAATCAGTCATAAGAATGACCTAGGCACTTTTTAAAATTTTATTTTGCTTCAAGTGAAAGTTTACAATTCAAGTTAGTTTTTCATACAAAAATTTATAGACACATTGCTATGTGATGCTAGTTGCTCTCCCTGTAATGTGACAGGACACTCCTCCTTTCCACCCCAGATTTCCTTTGTCCATTCAACCAGCTCCTGCCCATTTCTGCCTTCTCATCTTGCCTCTGGAGAGGAGCCGCCTGTTTAGTCTCATGTATCTACTTGAGCTAAGCAGCACACTCTTCACGGGTATCATTTTATGTCTTATAGTCCAGACTAATCTTTGTGTGAAGAGTTGGCTTCGGGAATGATTTCAGTTCTGGGTTAACAGAGAGTCCGGGGGCCATGTCTTCCCAGGTTCCTCCAGTCTCAGTGAGACTATTAAGTCTGGTCTTTTTACTAGAATTTGAGTTCTGTGCCCCACTTTTCTCGTGCTTCGTCAGGGACTCTGTTGTATTCACACCTAGGCACTTCTAAAGCAAGCACTTTTAAAGCAAAGATTCTTCCTCCTTTTCTTTCAAGTACTTAATAATTCAAAATGTTATTGTATGGTGCAGAATTTTACGTACTTTCTTGTTTAGATTCTCTGGGGCAAATGTTAAATTTTTAGATTCCCAGGCACCTCTCCTCGAAATTTCCCGTGTGTGATCATCTGAAGTTCTTTTAGATCTTTTAAAGTCAAAATGAGATAGGAAGTGTTAATATATTGTGAATTAAACTCAGGTCAAAAAATTAATACTTCTTTCAGTTTTGGTTAAAGACAGGAAGGTATAGCCATTAGAATTGGGGAAGGAATATCAATAGGGCATGAGAATATCATTGATAGTCAATAAATGATAAATAAAATGATGCATTACTTCTGTTATATCAAGAAATTTTGTTTTTAATTTGGTGATAATGTATTTGGTACTAATAAAGAAGATAACAAGAAACTACTGTGCTTAAAATCCTTGAATGAGTCCCTTCAGGATAAAAATCTGAGCATGTATCTTGGTCGTCTAGCTAGTGCTTCTATAACAGAAATACCACAAGTGGATGGCTTTAACAAAGAGAACTTTATTCTCTCACAGTTAAGGGGGTTACAAGTCCAAATTCAGGGCATCACCTCCAGGGGAATGCTTTCTCTGTCAGCTCTGGAGGAAGGTCCTTATTATCAGTCTTACCTTGTTCTGGGAGCATCTCGGCACAGGATCCTCAGGTCCAGAAGGACACGCTCTGCTCCCGGCACTGCTTTCTTAGTGGTATGAGGTCCCCATGTCTCTCTGCTCGCTTCTCTCTTTATATCTCAAAAGAGTTTGGCTTAAGACACTACCTAATCTTGTAGACCTTGTCAGTATAACTGCTGCTAATCCATCTTTTTACATTATAGTGATAGCATTTACAACACATAGGGTTATCATTATCAGTTGATAAAATGGTAGACAATCATACAATACTGGGAATCATGACCTAGCCAAGTTGACAGATATTTTTGTAGGACACAATTCAGTCCATGACAGCGTGTAAACATGATGTACACGCTCTTCATCATTTCTTTGCTCCTGCCTTCTTGCCCTGCTATGTGTCTCTATTCAGCTTCTCTTGCCTGTGCTCTAGCCATGACTGACTGACTGGATGGACGGCAAGGCTCTGTGTTGGTCATTGTTTTCCCAGCTCCTGGCATGTGATGCGTTGTAGGTGCCAGTAAATGTTTGTGAGTGAATGGAGGCATCATTTGCCGCCTTAGCCCTCTTGTCTAATTAGAGTAAACATTCTGATTTGTTTGATTTAAGTAAATAGTATAGTGATTAAGAGCACAGATTGTGGGACCATATTACCTATGTTCACATCTTAGCTATACTACTTACTAGCTGTGCAATCTCAGGCAAGTTATTGAGCTTTCCTGTGCCTCGATCTCCATATCTGTAAAATGAAGATAATATAACTATAGGATTGTTTTGAGGCTTAAATGGGTAAATATATTAAAATACTTAGAACAATGCCAGGTACATAATAAGTACTGTATAAATCACTTTAAAAAAATAAATAAAACCTGCCCTTTCTCCATTCTCACTGTCTCTGCCTTCAGTCCTGCCCTCATCATCTTTCACCTGGAATATGGTAACAGCCTCCTAGCTGATCTTCTTGCCTCCAGTCTTGCTTCCCTCCAAACCAATCTCCATGTTTCTGTCAAAGTGAGTGAGCATTCTAAAATACCAATTGGTCATGGCTTCACCCTGCTTAAAAATATTCTCAGGCCCTCTAAGCAGATGAATTTGATGAATTCTGTCATACAAGCTCTTTGCCTACTTCTCTAGCCTCATCCCATCTCTTTTTTTTTCTCACTGATGCACACAGTGCCAGATCCTATATATACATTCAGTTTCTTGAACATACTATTTTTTTTCAGCCTAGAACTGAATTTTTTTTTAAAAATATTTTTTTTTGTTGTTGTTGAAAATATACACAGCAGAACATACACCAGTTGAACAACTTCTACAAATACAATTCTGTGACACTGATAACACTCTTCAAGTTGTGCAGCAGTTCTCAACCTCCTTGTCAGGAGTGTTCCTTCCCCATTAACATAAACTCGCTGCCCCCTAAGCTTCCTATCTAACCTTTCTGAGTTGCTGTTGTTAGTTTGATCCCGTGTAGATAGTTCTTTAAAAGAGCACAATGCTCAAGGCAGATATCCTTTACTAATAAGCTGAACTATTTGGTTTAAAGAAGACTTCAGGGAATATTTTTGGTTTAATGTTTAAGGATTATTTCAGGGCAGTAGTTTCAGGGGTTCATCCAGCCACAACGGCTCCAGAAAGTCTAGATTCCATGAGACTTTGAAATTCTGTTGAACACAGTAACTTATTTTTGTAACTTTGTTTCTTGCTTATGTTATTCCTCTGTCTGACATCTTTAAAAATAGACATTGTCTTGAACTAATTATTCTTTCATTTCTGTCTACTACGTTCATCAAACTGTCACAGTATCTTGTAATTTATTCACTTAATATCTAGCTCCATTGCTAGACTAGGATCTCTTTCAGGGGAGGAATTATGGATTAGGTATGGTAGTCAGCTACCATACGAAGAAATTTCAAAGCTCTTATATTCAAACTAGTATTTTTCATCGAGTCTCATAAAGTGATAATTAGATCATAGACTTTATTTTTTGATTTAGTATTGAAAGTTCAAAATTTTTATCTTTCCTTAGAGACCATTAGAACAGTTCTTAAAATTGTAGGGGGAGGAATGGCTGTGGTGGTAGGGGGTGCATCTGGTAGGGGATAAGGAAGGAGAAGGGTAGATTTATTAACACTCTAGGAAAGAGGCTGTGTTAGAAAAAGTGTATTCCAAAATTAACATTGCCTTGGTCTTTTAAAAAAACTATATTATGTAGTTTAATTCAAAATATAAAATTAAATGATAGTGAGTTTTTTTTGTTCATCAAAAGAGGGAGTAAAGATTGAGAGGTACTGCTTTTGAGAGCAGCTGAACCTATATCATATAATTTACTTTTCCAGTAATAACTCAAGATGAACTGTTAAAAGCACATATTATTAGGGCTTTTTACCACCTTCAATTCTTAAAAGGAATCTTTTGATTTTTTTCTTTTTAATTTTTATGATCCTTCATTTAAATTCTATTCTGCTTTAAAAAACTGTTCTGAATTTTCATTACAAAGATGGTTTGTAACAGTGCTAAATATAGAATATTTCTAATAAAAAACAGTAATTTGTGTACAACTACCTGATTTGAGGTAAATTTATATATACTCTTTTAAAGAAAAATAGATCTTTATATATTTGTGTCAAGCTTGAGGTGGAACTTTGGTCTTTGTTCTAAATTGGCTGTGATCTCATTATTTATAGGTGGAAAAGGGATAGTAGTGGAAATAAAATCACCCACCCTGTTTCTGGAAAAAACATCTTACAGTTTGTTGCAATACAAAGGAAAGACTGTGGAGAATGGGCAATCCCTGGGGTAAGCATTAAAATTAAATTAATGTTTTAAGTTCTTGGTTGCTTTATTTACTACAAGGTTACTGTGTGTAGATTCTTCCTGTTCCATTTATCCTTCATTCCTTCCCACTTCAATTTAGTAATTGTTTTGTCTTTCATTATTGTGATGAAGTGTCAGTGTCAATACCAAGTTTAGGATGTATACAAAGGTTTAGAATCTAAGTCTGATTCTAAAACCCATGGGAAAGAACATGGATTTTGGAGTTAGATCTAGATTTTTGTCCTGGCCTTTCCACTTTCAGCTGAGTGATACTGAGTTCAGACCCTCATCTTTAAAATAAAGATAATCTTATCTATCTCATAGGATTATTAAAGATAGCATCTAAAGCACCTGGTACATAGTGTGTGTAATTCCTGGCTGCAAGAAAGGTTACTCTTGTGACTACTAACGGAAAGGTTGGTGGTTCAGATTAATTCAGAGGCACTTTGGAAGAAGGCTTCTGGTGATCTACTTCTGAAAGGTCTCTCAGCCATTGAAAACTCTATGGAGCACAGCTGTATTCTGACACACATGGGCTCACCATGAGTTGGAGTCCACTCTATGGTAGCTGGTTTGGTTTGTTTTCGGTTTACATAGTAGGCACTCATTAATGTTGTGTCTTCTCACAGAACTCATTCCCCACTGCTAGCCCAGGGAGAGATTTCTAGCTTTTTTGATGAATTCTGTTAACTTTATACATAATAAAAAGGGTAAGTTTTGTTACTTAACTGTTCATTGTAGATTTTTTTAAATTTATCTCTATAATGTTATTAAGAAGAATGTACTTTTGTTGGCTTGATGTAGTTTGAATTCATGTCAGTGGTATAGTTTATGCCGTCTTGTGAAATAGAGATAGTTTGATGTGAGGGTGACTTTATACACATGCTGCTATCTGGAAGAATTTTTTTTTCTTTGTAAGATAAAAATGGAATAGAAATAAAGATCTCAGCTGACTCTGATAAAAGCTTAGGGTAATTAGTGTCAGCCAAATAGTCAAACTTCAGTCATGCTGAGTGTAGTATTAGAATAGTGATTTCATCACAGGACCTTACATTTTTATTGTCATTTGAAATTCTGATTTATTAGGGAACTGTTTTCATTGATGATATTTTAAATCATTCTTCTGATCAATATATTTTGAGTATCCGCCCTTTGTCAGCTAATATTTTAGACATTGAGGGTCCAGAGCAGCATAAAAAAAATCTCTGTCCCCTTGGTGCTCATTTTCTACTAGGGGAAACAATAAGTAAGATAAATAAGTAAAGTATTTGTTAGAAGATTGTAAGTACTTAGCAGGGTAGGTGGCTACAAAGTTTTTTGCAATTTTAGGTAGGGTGATCAGAGATGACCTCCGTGAGTAAAGTTCTGAAGGAGGTAAATGAGTGAACTGTGTGGACATCTAGGGAAAAACAACTTGGATATAGGTAATAGCAGGTGCAAAGACACTAAACAGGGTGTAGGGCGGGAGGATGTCTGGCTTGTCCTGTGAACAGTGAGGATGTCAGTGTAGCTGGAGTGGGGTGAACAATGGAGAAAGTATCAACTAGCTGTATTCTTTCTTGCCTTCCGGCCTTTTTTCCTTAACTAGAGTTTGAAAAATACCGGGAAGGGAGTCTGACTGGCTCAGCTTGCCATAGGCTAGCTAATCTTGGACCAGACACTGTTGCTAAATGCATGAAACACCCTCATTGGCTGCTTCCACTAGAAATAAATGGTTTAGAGAAGAACATTTCCCAGAAGAATAGGGATCATTGTTATGGGGCAGAAAGAATAATAATTGTCCACTGCATCACTCAATAAATACTTGTTGAATGAATCGAAGCTTACTTACTGGTTTTTTTTTTCTTTTTTTTTTTTTAATGTTACCGTTAGGGCATGGTGGATCCAGGAGAGAAGATTAGTGCCACACTGAAAAGAGAATTTGGTGAGGAAGCTCTCAATTTGTTACAGAAATCCAGTGCTGAAAAGAGAGAAATAGAGGAACAGTTGCAGAAACTCTTTAGCCAAGAACATCTAGTGGTAAGAAATGGTAGTTCCTAGAAGGAATTTAGTCTTGTGGATTAATGAAAATGACTTAACAGTCTACCTGGAAATCTGGTAGATCCTTTCTCTAAATAAAATAGAATACTTGTATATTTGAAATACATATCTACAGAAACAATTTAAATCGTAATGAATCTTCACTGTAAATAGATTCCTGTTTAATGTTTTATATAGCCCACTCAACTTTAGGTCAGTTACATTATTTGTTATAACAATACTTTTTTTCTCTTGGTTTTTCTTCACATGAGCTCTGAGCTAATGTGACATGTAAGAATGTTTTTTTGTACATGCTGAGTACCCATCCAACAGAAAACCTATTTTTATTTGCATGAATTCAGCTCTTTTTCAAAGGACATGCACATTTTAAATTACATTATACAGAGTTTCTCTGGTTGATAATTGTGTGTCTCATATCTGTTTTGTCTATATACCCTCAGTAATTTTTGTAAGCACCTTATATATGTACATTAATCATAAAGAAAAGTACAGGATCCCCCCCCCCTTTTTTTTTCCTTTTTTTGTGGTAGCTTTTGTTAAGATTGCTTTGTTTTCTTTCCAGGATTGGGATTTCTTAATTATTTATCTATGTTGTTCAGTTTTTTTGGTCACATTTGTGTTAGATGGCTAGGTTAAAATCTTTTTATGTATTAGTAGCTTAAATATTAGTTTTTATTTTTATGTATAGATTTCATATTTAAATAAAGGACTCTACCTTCATATTTCTGAAATGATAATCACAGGAATTATTAAAACAGAAAAATACTTAAATTATGACCCTTTTTAAAAATTATATGGCCGAAGTCTGACTAATCTCAAATTCTGAAATTAGAGCCTGAGATGTTGAGGGTTTTGTGAATTTTTAAGCCGCCTCAAAACGTTCTTGAGAATATTGTTCTTGGGAAATTTAAAACAAGCATGTATAACGTTGCATTAAAGGTTTTATGATAGGTAGTTAAACATTTCTGATTCTAGTGAAGGTAACATGCTTCTGCTCTACCCATTCCTGTTTCATCCTAGACTTTTTTTTATCTGCCTCCTTATAAAAATAGATATATAAGGGATATGTTGATGATCCTCGAAACACTGATAACGCATGGATGGAGACAGAAGCTGTAAACTACCATGACGAAACAGGTAATTTTACTTATATTTATTAAACTGACTGACCTTAGAGGACCATTTAAGCCAAGCAGCCTACTAGGGCATGATCAAAACTGGACTGTTGTGTTTAGCACCCTAAGCCAATCAGCTATAGATGGTAGGAGTATATTGTTTAATATTAAACAATCATACATGATCTCTGCATATATACAAATGCACACATGGTCTCTGCCTGCTCCCAAGGAACTAGATTTTGTATTTATATGAAACCAAAAATGTGATGTTAAAAGAATACAAGGAAGAGGGCCTCAAAAGCATTATTACCAGTGACTAAATTTCTTTACTCTGTTGGTAGCATGGGAAATTAAGGTTGAATTTCTGGACTAAAATTATGTGCTCTAAAGTTGTCAAAATGTGTAAAACAACAAAAGCAACAATGACTGGAAACTTATGTTGGAAGTATGGCAGTGATAAGGGAAATGGGGATTTATCTCTGTCTTACTGTTTGAAATTTTTTATAACAAGCATGCATTATTAAAAGACAAAACAAAAAAATTCCAAGTATTGAAATAATTTAAAATGAATGCTTTTTCTGGTCCATGGATTAAAAAAATTTGGAAGTCAAATCTGTTACTAAAAACAAGAGGGAAATCTATCTTAAACATTAATGATGGTCTTTGATTTACACATTGAATGGCTTCCCCTGCAACAGATATTTTACTGCTAAATTAGGATCATATTTTTATTTTCATCTGTAGCTTAATGAAGTAAGTGGGCAGTGTATCAGAAGAACTGAATATCCTACTTATGACTCTTATTAACTGTATGACCTTGTACAAGTCATCTATCCTTTTGGACTTAGTTTTTTTCATTTATAAAATGTGGGACCAGCACTAGATTATCTGTCACTTTTACAATCTGTGCTTTTGCTCTTTGAACTTGGAGGAAACTACCAGCGTGTTTCCATCCCTTCCTTTCAGCTGTTCTAACCAAAGTAATAGAAGAGTTGATCTTTCTGGTATTGAGAACGTCGAAGAAATATTTTGGTGGGAGAAATATGCAAATAAAATGTAACTTAGAAGCAGGACTGTAAGATTTAAGTGCTGATAAATTTAACTTTTTTTTAAGTTAGAAACAATGACTAATTTTCCAGAGGTTGATTATATAATTTATGGGTTGTTCACATCACTGTCTTCACCCTCCTCCCTTGGCTAAACTTCTAAAAATTTTGTCTTATGTAATTTTTAGATGATCAGAAGGGGAAAGGAAAAAAACTTTTCAGACATTGTTAGTTCTGATAAAGAGTGTGATATTAGAGTATTAGAGGAAGTTGTTATTTAGATAATAAGATACTTCAACTTTTAGATTTAAGTTTACTTTTTAATTCTGGTTCTCTTTTAATGGTTGTCATTGTGATGAGGAGACACAAAGAGTTATCATTTTAGCACTGAAATTTAGAAAACTGTGCTAAAATATTAGATTCTTTTTTTTTAAAGTAGCTTTATATTTTATTATAATAAGTGTAATATATTACTATAAAGGTGATACATGTCTACTGCGAATTATTTAGAAAATAGATAATGTGTAAAGAGGAAAAATTTAAAAATGACCATTTACTTTATTACCCAAAGATAACCACTGTTAACATTTTGGTTTATCTTCTTCCAGACATCATAAAATTATTTTTTAAATAAAAATAGGCTCATACTGCAATTTTGTTTTGTTGCTTGGTCTTTGCACTTACGAATGTAATATGGACATCTTTCCATGTCAATATATAGATATACTTCATTTTTAATGACCATATAGAACTCCATTGTGTACCGTCATTTAATCTGGTCCATTGTATAATCATTTAATCTGTGTCTTATAGAAGGAAAGCTTTTTCTGCTGCTGTTGTTATCAATAATGTTACCTTATTACTTAATACTTTAACAGGCTTGTCTCTTTATTTCCTTAGGATAAATTCTTTGAAGTGAATAGCTGGATTGTTTATTGTGTTTAGTACAGTGCTTAGTATGGAGTCTGGTGTATGAGACTCCATACACATTCAACTTAGTATGGAGTCTCATACTTTATTACCCAAAGATAATCACTGTTAACATTTTGGTTTATCTTCCAAGCATCATATAGTTGTTTTTTAAATAAAAATAGGCTCATACTGCAATTTTGTTTTGTTGCTTGATGTTTTCACTTAAAAATATGTGTATCCTCATCATAGTGACAAAATATAATATGGACAATCACTGTCTTCACTCTCCTCCCCCCTCTAAACTTCTACAAACTTTGTTTTATATATATATATACTCATTCAACTTAGTATGGAGTCTCATACACCAGACTCCATAGTAACTCCAGCAATTGTTGAGTCAGTACTAATCAGAGCATTTACTTTTTAAAAGTTCTTGATAAACATTGCCCAGTTGTTCTCTAGAACTATGCCATTTTTACAACAGTGATTGAGTGACTTATTTTTAATTTTTTGGTAATTAAATTTGTAAATATTTTTTGTTATGGTTTCTGGTTTGGTGTCATGTTTAGACAAGTCCACTCACCTTAAGACTATAAAACTAATCACCAATAATTTGTTTTATTTCAATTTTTTTTTATATTTAAAGCTTTTATACTCTCTAGAATTTATTTTGATACAAGGTTTCATGTTTATTTAATATGAACTCTTTTTTAAGGATAATATTTTTTTAATAAGACAAGTTTTCCTATTGGTGCTTCTACCTAAAATTTAGAAACTTGATTAAAATTTGGGCATTTGGGAGTATTCTAGTTTTTAATTCACTTGGTCACCTAATACAATTGTGATTTGAGATTCTTTTTAGTAAGAATACTTCAAGATATATTGAAAAAGAAATGAATAAATGAGTTACTTTTTCTTGGTGATGGTTTTTCTCTGGTAACCAGGCGAGATAATGGACAGTCTTACTCTAGAAGCTGGAGATGATGCTGGAAGAGTGAAATGGGTGGACATCAGTGATAAACTCAAGCTTTATGCCAGTCACTCTCAGTTCATCAAACTTGTTGCAGAGAAACGAGAAGCGCACTGGAGTGAGGACTCTGACCCTGGCTGTCCTGGATTATAGCTTGAAGTCTCCATGTAAGCTAAAGGCCAACAAAGGAGCATGTACTGAAAAGAAGGAAATATTACAGAACTTATGCTATAAAAAGGCCAGGGTAGGTAACTTGGGAATTATTTATTTTCAAAACAATTTGCATTTAGAATGTTTTGCATCAGAGTAATATTAGTAAATATGGTAAAATAGAACACAGAATTTTCAGCTTTCTATTCAAAAGAATATGAATAGTCATGTTTTATGTATTCTATTTAAGCATGGCTTAAACCAAATTTAAACAACTGATGCACTCTGAAGAATTGTAATAAGAATAAAGAGAAATTTCTGATTATATAGCTCTATTTTTCATTTATTTCTTGTTTGTTAATTCTTGTTTTTTCCTCACTGATCTTTTGAGATCTGAAGGATATTCCTGCCACATCAAGTACTTTCGAAGGAGCAACACCATTGGATATACAGTTTACTGTATAATCTGATTTATCTTCAAATTAATTTGCTTTAAATTTTGCTTATATAATCTTGTTGCAGCTGCTCTCAAAAAATGGCAACTTTCTGTGTATTTTGTAACTTCAGAGTCATGAGTTTAATGAAGAAATATCAGCACTCTTTTAGTCGATCAAGATCAGTGAACCAGAGGTGGTTGTCTCATTTTCAAAAATTTTAAATTAAAAAATATGCCTAGGAAATTAGTAATTTAGATAATATGCTTATTTTACTCTATTGTAACTGTGTATGTTGGGAATGAATGAAAAACAGATGGAATTGACAGTAGGCAGAGACAGGGAGATTTTTGGGAGTTAAAGTGGTTTTTGTTGGGAAGGGAACATAAGATTGAAATAAGATTTTGAGAGATGGTCTGTAAGTATTATAAATATCAGACAAAAGGAGAGGGTTAGAACCAGGGACTCTTGGAAGCAGAGAAGAAGAAAAAAACAACACTGTCTTGGCACCACCATTTATGACATTATGTTTGTGGGCATGTGTATCACATTCTGGCTAAGGATGTCAATCAGTGATATCCATTAGGAAAGTCCCTTGATACTAACTCCTGTCAACCCAAAGTAGGGACCATAATTCCACCTTCATTCCACCTAGACTGCAGATGGAGCATCTGGAGAAGAGGTGGCTTAGGTGATAGTGATAAGGTTGTTGTCTTCAGATGTTTGAAAAAGGTGTTAGCTAGAGCACAGAACTAGGGCTAAGGTAAATCAAAACTTTTTTGTTTTTGTCAGGTTGGTGTCAAAACTCCTCTGGTGGTAAAACCTGAGCTGAACTGACGAGGCTTTATTCCCCTTAGATTGACTATATGTTTTGTTGCAGAAACATTAAGTTGTTTGATTTTAGGACACTTCTTCAACCCCTCTAGAAGAGTAGGTGTACTGTGCAAATTTTCTAAAATCCATAAAATCCTGGTCTTTAGAGTATGTAATAAGGTCTTAAGGACTTGTACTTGACAAGGATGACCTCTGATTAGGTGAGAGACCTTGGTCCAGCATGAAAGAGTCTGATTTGCCTGTTTGGCAGGAAGAAATTCTTCCTGGCACTGAATAGAGTCTGTTTAAAATTGAAACCACTTAAAACTCTTAAGAAAGTTTGAGCAATTCTCTGAAGAATGACATTTACTTATTTTTAATACTTTTCATACATTTAAACTGACATTAGTAAAAACATGTTATATTAAATTTATTTAAAAATGACTAAAGCACATGGTCTGTAGATAATATAGGTATGATATTTTTAATAGTATTTTGGAGTTTTCACTGGAATATTTACAAAGTGCAAAATGATAGTTACTATAAACTATAGATAAGATAGAAGTAGAAAATCTTCTGATAACTGTAAACATCCAGCACCATCTATAGTAGAGAAAAACCAGATTAAAATGTTAGTTTAAGACATTTCTGGAGTACTGTCCACTCCTGTATCACTAGAAAATAATATCTTCATATTTACTTTCCCTATGTTTAAGTAATACATTTTTACTCTGGAGATATTTAGTAAAATAAATAGTGATAATAGATACCATTTATTATCTACATTATATCACTTAATCCTTCTACAATCTTGTGAAGTTAGGTGTTACTATTCTCATTTTACAGATGAAGAAATTAAAATCACAAAGTTTGCCCATAGTTTATTCAAGATAGGATGGAGCTGCAATTTGAATCCCCATTTGCCTGGTTACAAAACCTATTAGTTGTCTGTAGTATTCCCTACTAAGATTATGAATCTTTTGTGATTTGTATTGTAAGTACAGGCATCCCTCGTTTTACTGTGCTTCGCTTTATTGCACTTCTCAGATACGTGTTCTTTACAAATTAAAAGTTGTGGCAACCCTGCCTTGAACAAGTCTGTTCGTGCTGTTTTTCCAGTAGGATGTGCTTACTTCATTTGTCTGTCACATGTTGGTAATTCTTGCAATATTTGAAACCTTTTCATTATTATTATGTCTCTTATGGTGATCTGTGATCAGTGACCTTTGATATTACTATGTAATTGTTTAAGGGCGCCACAAACCATGCCCATATAAAATGGCAGTCTTAACTGATACCTGTTGTGTGTGTTCTGATTGCTCCACCGACTGGCTGTTCGCTTGTCTGTCTCCCTTTCCCTATTCCCTGAGACATGACAATAGTGAAATTAGGCCAGTTAATAACCCTACAATGGCCTGTAAGTGTTCAAGTGAAAGGAGGAGTTGTATGTCTCTCACTTTAAATCACAAGCTAGAAATGATTAAGCTTACTGAGGAAGGCGTGTCGAAAACTGAGATAGGCCAAAAGCTAGGCCTCTTGTGCTGAGCAGCCAAATTGTGAATGCAGAAAAAAAGTTCTTGAAGGAAATGAAGTGTTACTCCAGCGAACACATGAATGATAAGAAAATAAAACAGCCTTATTGCCAGTACGGATAGAAGATCGAACCAGCCACAACATTCCCTTAAACCAAAACCTAATCCAGAGCGAGGCCGTAACTCTGTTCAATTCTGTGAAGGCTGAGAGAGGTGAGGAAGCTGAAGAAGAAAAGTTTGAAGCTGGCAGAGGTTGCATAATGAGGTTTAAGGAGAGAAGCCATTTCCATAACATAAAAGTGCAAAGTGAAGCAGCAAGTGCTGATGTAGAAGCTGCAGCAGGTTATCCAGAAGATCTAGCTAAGATAATTGATAAAGGTGGCTATGCTAAACAACAGGTTTTCAATGTAGACAAAACAGCCTTATATTAGAAGAAGATGCCATCGTGGACTCTTGTAGCTAGAGAGGAGAAGTCAATGCCTGGCTTCAAAGTTTCAGAGGAGGGGCTGATTTTCTTGTTACGGGCTAATGCAGCTGGTGACTTAAGTTGAAGCCATTGCACGTTTATCATTCTGAAAATCCTAGGGCCCTTAAGAATGCTAAATCTCTTCTGCCTGTGCTGTATAAATGGAACAGCAAAACCGGGATGACGGCACATCTGTTTACAACACGGTTTACTGAATATTTTAAGCCCACTGTTGAGACTTAACCACTCAGAAAAGAAGATTCCTTTCAAAATATTACTACTCATTGACAATACGCTGGTCACCCAAGAGCTCTGATGGAGATGTACGAGGAGATTAATGTTGTTTTCATGCCTGCTAACACAACATCCATTCTGCAGCCCATGGATCAAGGAGTAATTTTGACTTTCAAGTCTTATTATGTAAGAAATACATTTGTAAGGCTATAGCTGCCATAGATAGTGATTCCTCTGATGGATCTGGGCAAGTAAATTGAAAACTTTCTGGAGAGGGTTCACCATTCTAGATGCCATTAAGAACATTCGTGATTCATGGGAGGAGGTCAAAATATCATCATTAACAACGAGTTTAGAAGAAGTTGATTCCAACATTCATGGATGACTTTGAGGGGTTGAAGACTTCAGTGGAAGAAGTAACTGCAGATGTGGAAATAGCAAGAGAACTAGAATTAGAAGTGGAGCCTGAGGATGTGACTGAATTCCTGCAGTCTCATGATAAAACTTGAACAGATGAGGAATTGCTTCTTATGGATGAGCAAAGAAAGTGGTTTCTTGAGATGGAATCTACTCTTGGTGAAAATGCTATGAACATTGTTGAAATGACAACAGAGGTTTTAGAATATTACATAAACTTGATAAAGCAGTGGCAGGGTTTGAGAGGATTGACTTCACTTTTGAAATAAGTTCTACGCTAAAGTTATCAAACAGCATCACATGCTACAGAAAAATCTTTCATGAAAGGAAGAGTCAGTCGATGTGGCAAACTCCATTGTTGTCTTATTTTAAGAAATTGCCACAGCCACTCCATCCTTCAGCAGCCACCATCCTGATCAGTCAGCAGCCATCAACCTCAAGGCAAGACCCTCCACCAGCAAAAAGATTACGATTCGCTGAAGGCTCAGATGATGGGTAGTATTTTTTTTAGCAATGAAGTATTTTTTAATTAAGATATGTACATTATTTTTTGAACAATGCTATTGCACACTTAATAGACTATAGTATAGTATAAACATAACTTTTACATGCACTGGGAAATAAAAAAATTTGTGTGACTCGCTTTACTGTTGTGATACTTGCAACCACCGAAGCTGCAGTATCCCTGAGGTATGCCTTTTGCAGTTTGAAAGATTATTTGTTACAAAAGCAGTACTCATTTTTGTCAATAGTAATGCAGCTGTGGTTTGTGACTTGAAAGGTAATGGCCAGACCTGCTTTATCTAGCATTGTTGAAATTGCTTGCACAATTTTGGTGCAAGGACATTTTATATGATAATATCTTAACCTAAGGATAATTGGCCACAGTCAGTACTTGTCTTGCCAGCAAGTGTTCTCAAACTGTTGAAAGCATTTCACACTCAAATAGAAGCATATGCTAAACTTGTTACAGTATTCCTTAACTATGTTAAAAGTGGGTTATGGTTAAGTGCTCAGGTGCTAAACGTAAAGGTTAGTGGTTCAAACCCATCCAGCGGCTCCATGGGAGAAAGACCTGGTGATCTACTCACATAAAGATTACAGCCTAGAAAACCCTATGGGGCAGTTCTGCTCTGTCACATGGAGTTACTGTGAGTCAAAATTGACTCTATGGTACCCAACAACAACAGTCTGAAAAGCTAAATATGTGGTAGTTAAAGAGGGCATTTGAAAATTCTAACCATTTTTAGAGGCTAAATGCTATTTTTGTCTTACAGTATAAATTTTCTTAGCTCAGGACTTCTGGTGTTATGCATTATTTTTTCAGAAAGCATCTGTAATTAGTTTGGTCTTTTTATATGTACCAGCACCAGTTGCCATCGAGTTTATTCTGACTCTTGGCAACCCATGTGTCAGAGTAAAACTGTGCTCTATAGAGTTTTCAGTAGCTGATTTTTTGGAAGTAGATTGCCACGCCAGGCCTTTCTTCTAATCCTCTTATGTGTAACTCTTGATCCTCTAGCCTTTATGTTAGCAGCCAAGTACATTAACCATTTGCATCACCCAGGAGTCTCCTTGTTTACACTTACTTTCATCATATTATTAATTTACCAATGTAGACAGAGTTTGAAGCTATTAAACTCAAGATAAAAATAATTTAAAATTTATAATAGTGCTTGAAAGATATGGAAATTTTACTAACCGTATATAAAGAATACTTCTGAGATAGTAATCAGAAAATTATTTCTGTTAGAAAGAGACAATACAGTTTATAATGTTAAAAATAATAAGAATTCAGAAGAAATTGGAACATTGGGTTTATTCTGACCAGTTAATTCTGTATACATATAGGGAGACCATTCTGATTAAAAAGGAAATTACTCCAAGTAGGCTCGTCACATTGAGGCTTATAAAGAGGGGAGGGAGAAGAATAGAAGATCAGCCATTGGTGAATCTTAATATGATTGATTGAACCTTGCCCTCCCCCTTTTACTGAAATCACCTAATACCAGATTACTAGGTGGTCTCTGGCCTGGCAGCTAAAAATTTGGCCCTCCACCCACCTGCAGCCATGAGACCTTCTGAAATTTAAGTAAGCCTAGAGTTTTTTTCATTAAATCACTAGGTAATGGTTTTGTCATTGTAGTAGAGCAGATTCTGGTGGGGAAAAAAAAAATGCTTTTACAGTTTGATCAGACTTTTTTATTAAGGTTAATATTTGATTTTGTGGGTAAGAAAAAAACCTTAAAATCAAAATAAAAATTTTTTTCTTTGGCAGTAGTTATGTGAAGGTATTTTCAACATATTTTTGTCTCCTTCCTTGTCTCCCAGTATTTTACTGCTGATGTGTTGCTGTTGGTGTAATCATGTGTTGTGGAGTAGAAAATAATGTGGTTCCTAAATGCTGATACATTGAATTCTCAAATGTTTTCTGCAACAAAGAGCATAATTTCCCCCACTTGGCTTCTGATGGCCTGATAAGAGCATTTGAAATGGTAAGAAGTATTAAATAAGTACCAGAGCAATGAAACTTGCCAGAAGGAAAACTGATTTTGTGAAAATTGGGATTTGAGAATATTTTGATTCATCGGTATCTCTTAAGGTAGATTAAAATAAATACATACTGTATATATTTTCAATTGACTTTTTAAATGAAGTCAATAAAAGGAATATGCCATTTAGGTCTCTATAATTTTTAATTTTGTGTATATTTTAAAAGCAAAGTTGTGTGAGATTCAGTGTAGAAGTCTCAAGGTTTGTAGCCTTTCCACCAAGCAAGCTGATGCTTTGCGATCAAGACATTTCTAGGTTTGTTAGTTACATAGCATTGTTTACTATGAATTGTCATAAGACAAAAATAAGCCGGAGGTAAATTTCACTGTTTGAATTTTTTTTAACCTAATGTTGTGAAATATCGTGGACGTTATGACTTTAAGGAAGTGCAGAAATTCTGATCTAAAGAACTTAGAGGAAAGTAAGCTTATAACTCATGAGATCTAATTTGGGTAGATCAGTTGAGTATGCTTCTACCATATGTTCGAGAGATTCTTACCTTTCCTGAAATGTTACTTGGGTTTATCAATAGTTATAGAAATAAAATCTTACCCCAAAGAAGCCCTAAAAAAACAAGGTGTTATCTTCAATCTGTTAAGTAGGTATGCAGAATTTATTATAGTAGCATAAAAATAAATATACACCACTGACTGCTCTGACGGATCACAACAGAGAGTCCCGGGCAGAACGGAAGAAAAATGTACAACAGAATTCAAATTCACAAAAAAAGACCAGACTTACTGGCCTGACAGAGGCTGGAGGAGCCCCCGAGACTGGCTTCCCAGACACTCTGCTGACTCAGAACTGAAACCATTCCTGAAGCCCACTTTTCAAAGATTAGACAGGCGTATAAAACAAGCAGTAACACGCGAGGAACGTGCTTCTTAGTTCAGTGAAATAACACGAGACCAAATGGGCAATTCCTGCCCAAAAGCTACACGAGAAGGCAAGAAGGGGCAGGAACTGGATGAATGGACACAGGGAACCCGAGGTGGAAATGGGAGCATGCTGTCACATTGTGGGGATGGCTACCAACAATACGTGTGTAAATTTTTGAATGAGAAATTAACTTGAGTTGTAAACTTTCACCTAAAGCACAATAAAATTAAAAAATTATTCACACCATAAAATAAGTATAGACTTACCCCGAGTTGGCTCAAAATAGTAGTGATTAACTGAAGAAAAATCGGTGATTACTGCTGTCAGTGGGTTTATTTTGTAACTTGCTTTTGACTCGTGGTACATGTGTAAGTTTAAATATTTTGTGTATGAAACTCTTTGTTTTTATTGAAAAATTACACCTTGCTGCTTAGTGTTTTACTTACATGATGTATATAGATTTAAAAATGACTCAGTATCTAGATTTAAATTTCCTTAATTCACAGAAAAAATATTTTCTTGTAACTGCCTTCTAAAGCTTTGCTTTATTTTCTTTCCAAATTAGTAAAGACAGTTCTTTCCATGATGAATTGGTTCATCGTAGCTAGGGTGTTGAACAAATATTTTTATAGAATTTATAGATTAACCAGGCAGAATATATTTACCACTATAAGATCATTAGATGTCAGGACCTAGAGTAAAGGAAACACAATCAAATAATCAAGGAGTTGTAATTCAATATTTTATCTATCTTTTTTCTGTTACACATTTTATATTAGCTTGATTAATGAAAACATGCTTTTTAGAATTAGCATTTTAAAATTTTGTTCACCATTAAGATTAGTAATCACTAACTCCATAACTAAATCCATAACTCCTCCTTCAAGCCTATTATCTCTGAAAACACCTTTCCTTTTGTGGACTTCAAACATAGCAGGGACTTCTTGGAAAGATAATTAAACTTATGCTTGCTAGATTAGAAAAAAAATTATATTTTGGGACCACTTTTTTATAAAAGAAAACTAATAATTTCATTTTCTACGATTGCAATAGTGGCATCATTAAAACAATTGGAATTAATATGCTATAGTATACATGATTTTTTTCGTTCGTGACTGAGTCAATCTCATATGTAATCATTCTAAGTAAAAACCTGTCAAAAGTAAGATTGAAACGATTCTTTCATATCATGACCATAACCTT